CAGGAAACACCGGAGAAAGGTCCACCCTGACCCACAGCCAGGATCCGGGCCAACTGGACCTAACACCATGCCCACCACCAAGCCTCCTCGTCTTCCCAACACCAAAGGTGGCCAGAGCCCCACCAGTCACTCCAGCCCAGCCCGGGGGGACCCTGCCCTGTCCAGTCTCATCACAGACCAGCCCAGGAGTGACCCCGGCGGCTAGCGTGGAATTCCAGAAGGATGAGCGGGCCTGCTCACAGGCTCTCCTTCCTGGGATCTCGCCGGGGCCAGCCAGAAAGGCCGTGCTCGGGCCTGCCTGTGCCGGAGGAGCCGGCAGGCAGGACACGCTCCTGCAGGCACAGCGGGTGGAGCAGACACTCTGCCCTGCAGCCTCCAAATTGAATCTGACTCAGCGCATCCGTGATCAAAAGCTCCTTCTGACAGCCGTCCCACAGCGGCCCGGACCGCCAATCTAAAGTATTAGGTATGCCATCAGCCAGCCAGCCAGCATCCCTCTCCCTCCCTTTGCCAGCCCTGGGCAGTGCTGAGGAGAACAGAAAGGCACCCTGCCCACGGGGGGCTTCCCGGCGCTTTGAGACACACCACCTGGTGTATGGAGACACGATGTGTGGCGTAAAATATAATGCACATGGCCGAAACCGGTTTGGCTCAGTGGATAGAGAGTCGGTCTGCGGACTGAAAGGTCCCAGGTTCGATTCCGGTCAAGGGCATGTACCTTGGTTGCAGGCACATCCCCAGTAGGGGTTGTGCAAGAGGCAACTAATCGATGTTTGTTTCTCTCTCATCGATGTTTATAACTCTCTATCCCTCTCTCTTCCTCTCTGTAAAAAGTCAATAATATATATATATTTTTAAAAAGAAAAAAATATATAATGCCCATATAATAGACACACTGTGTGGCTTTATAAAGCGACCGCCTGCTGCTCACCGGGGCGGGTGGGTGGGAGGCAGTAGCCCCAGATGGCCTCGGAGCAGGGTTAGGCACAGGTTGCCCCAGGCTGCCTCAGGGGGATCCAGACCTTTGCTGAAATGCTGGCTCCTTCCTGAACTGAAGCGGGGCAGGAAGGGGCTGGGACCCTGTGGCATCTGGCAGAAGGCTGGCCCCAAACCTAAACTATCAGCTACAGCAGGCCTAGGGTCCAGAGAGCCATGTGACCTGGCCAGGCAGCTTCTGCGGCGAGCACGGGTACCTCTCCTGTTGGTTCTCATTGTCTATCTGGGCCACCGTTGTCAAACGTGTCAAAATTAATGTTATAAGCATGTCAAACGTGTCTCTTAGTTTTTTCAATATTGTATCCCCCTCCCCACAAGCTGCATCAAATTTCAAGGAGTTTTACGTGTCAGGTCCTGTGATGCCCACTTTCAACCAGGCTGCTGCCTGAAGCACGGGACAGCTGCTGCTTAGCCAGCTGTGTGCTGGTGGGAGGGGCTGTCGGCCGGGCAGCATCTGGTCCCCACAGCGAGCAGCTAACCCGGAGCCTCCTCAGAGAGAGGGGGTCACTCCTGCAGGTGGGCCTTGCGGGAGGGGTCACGGAGGCAGACTTGGCCTGGGGGCTGCTCGTCGGTCAGGGCTGCCACGAGGCCAGCTTGCTCCAGCCATACCTTCATCAGAGCTGCCATCCTGGATGCCACCCCTCAGCTGACTGGCCCATCCTGCTAGCCCCGATGCCATGTGGGATGGAGCTGCTCGCTGCACACGTGGAATCAGAAGACTGGGCTCTGCCTGTTTCCTTCACTGCCCCATGGAGAAAGTATCAGGGTGGACGAGGGTCTCTGACACACGCCCCAATGCCAAGACTTGCAGGGCCCGGTGCACCCTGACCTCAGCAGCATGGAGAGCTTGACAGAGCGCTCTTTGGCACTGGGTGGGCAGCGCCATCCTGAGAAGCAGCTGGGCCACCCAACTCTGGACGGACAGCTGAGTCGTGGGCATCACAGGGACTCCTCTCCTTGTGCTGCTCATAGGCTGCAGCCTGGAGCTGTTCTGGGGCAGTGCCATGGCCCACACCAGAGCGGGACTGACACCCCTCCTGCTCTCCCAGGGGCCCAGAGAGCCACGCCTTTCAACAGTCTGCATGAAGAGAGAACCAGACACTTTGGTGGAGAGAAATCAAGTGTATGTGTGTGCAGGTGTGTGCACACACGTGTGCGCGTACATTTCTGTGCGAAGGCGTGTATGTGTGTGCACTTGTGTGTACACATGTGCACATGTGTGCGTGCACATTTGTGTGCGTGCACATGTGTATTTTTTAAGGCAAAGCAAAGCGAAGGCAGGTGGGCAGGGCTCTCCCAGAGTCCCACGTGCACTCTGTTTGGAGTCAGTTTCTAGATGGAGTCGGTTTTGCTCCTTCTAGGTTTCCTTGCTCAGGACTTTCCTCCCTCTCCTTCTTTTGAAGGAAAACAGGAGTACCTGGAAAAACAAGTTCTGCTGAAATTCAAAACTATCTCAGAGGTCCCACACCTGAACCCTGAGGACTCCCCAGCGGTGAGCTCTGGTGACAGCTTTACCTAGAAACACGCCAGCCTGGGACTAAACTCTTTCCCACCCGCCCCGGTGCGCGATGACAGATGCCACCAGCACGGGCCATCAGAGCTTGGCTGTGTCTTAGGAGCCCAATTCCGAAGCCCCCCCAAGTAATGGGGGGTGAGGGGGAGGTGGGGGAGCTGGCAGAGCCTGATGCTGAGGTCCCACGTGGGAGAGACCAGGCTGGACCCTGTCCTCTGCCTCAGGCTTCACTCTGACTCACAAACACCTCCCAGGGGCCAAAGCCATTTTAGTACCGGTGAGTCCACACACTTCCAGCTGCAAAGGTGTGCGTGTGTGTGTGTGTGTGTGTGTGTGTGTGTGTGTGACAACAGTGAACCTCCAGAGTCATCAACACTGCTCAGCCCCTGCTCTGCCAGGCTTCCTCGTGGGGGAAATGCACAAAATGCCACTCCAGAGCATCAAAATCACGGAACCAATCCTTGCACAAAACAGCAAGACTTTTTTTTTTTTTTTTTTTTTTTTTTTTTTTTTTTTTTTTTTTTTTTTTTTTTGTCAAGTGCAAGACAGACATGGAGAAGTGCATCCTTTTTGGTCAGAAAAAAAAAAAAAAAGTGCAAATCTGAAAACGGGGCCTAGGATGACTTTTAAGGGTTTCTAGAACAAATTGAGCCCCTGCTAAGTGAGGATGGCACACAGGTTCGTTCTTTGGGGACAGCCGCAGGAGGCAATTACCATCCCAATTCCAGGGGACTCAGTCCCAGCTGGGTATGGAACGGGTGTCCTCCCTGCCAGAAGGGGCGGGTGGGGGATGGGCAGCCCCCAGCCCCCTGTCGAGCCTGCTTCCTGCTTTAACCTCCAGGTTCAGAAAGAGACGCATCCATCAGCCTTCCTCCCTCCCTTCTGCAATAAATCCACTGCAGCCCTGGGGGTGGGACAGGCCAGACGCACACCATTTTCCAATCTCCAGCGTCTTCACTTTTCTCCCTGTTACCTGCTTCTACCTGAGGGTTTAGGCTTACACATTCCTGCTCCAGCCTGTGGGTGTCCTTGTCCTTGGTAAGCTGACGGGAAGGCCCCTGACGCCATGACTATCACCGCCCCCCGGCCTCCAAGTGGCCCTGAGGGTTAGTAGGAACTCAATCACGAAAGGTCAAACGTCCCCCAATTCCCTCCTGGAGTCAATAAATTACATGCTACCCACGAGCAGGTGCTTTTGGAAGATGTTTACAACATACTCTTTAAAAGGGTCTGCCCTGCTGTTGAACCTAAACCGGTTGGACACAACTTAACAAATTATATTATTTTTCTCTCCCCAGAATGACTTCCCTCCTCCAATCAGGTGCCTCCTCCCTCAAAAGCTTTGGCAAGCAGGTGTGCTGCTTCGGCGGCGACCAGTTAACAGTCTGCCGTTTTCCATGGAGCCAGGAGGAGAGGGCTGACCGTCTACAGCATCCTAGTCCACCGGTGGCCACACAGGGGTCCCCGGGGCGGGGGCTCCCCTGGGCTCCGGCATCCCTCCACTCCCGCAGCACCGCCGCCTCCCGGGCCGTGGCTGGGCGTGTCGGGAAGAGGGCCCGGCAGCCGCGTGGCCGGGACCCGGGTCCCAGGAGCTGGTGGCCGCGGGAGCGTACGCGCCCGGAGCGGAGCGGCGCCCTGGGCACGGCGCGCGGCGCACGCGGGAAAGGCGGCGGGCGCCGCCGAACAACGGGCCTCCGCGCATTGTTCTCCGGAGGCTCCGCCGCATCAAAGGGGGCCGCTCGCAACCCGACACCGCGGCCACCGCGGGACCCAAGCCGGGCGGCCCCTGCGACGCACAAAGGCCGGCCCTGGGACCCCGGGCAGTTGTTGCCTCCACAGGTTGGAAACGAAGTGGTTTCGCTCCAAACCGCACGGTCTTCCCCGGAGACCTGCCAGCCCCGGGGCGCGCGCGGTCGGTCACCCCCGGAGCCCGGAGGCGCAACCCACGGAGGCCGCTCCGGAGCTGGGAGGGGACGGGGCCCGGGACGGCGACACGGGCTCCCCCACCCCCGGGCGGTAGATGCGCGGGCGCCTCCAGAGCCACCGCGAGTGGAACAACTGTCCCCCCGGCCCCGGCCCCCCGGTGGCCTCGGCCGGCAGATCGGATCGCCCAGGGCACCAACTTCCCGGCGGAGTGGCCCAAGTTCGGTCACCAAGTTTGGTGCCGCAGGACTCACGGCATGGAGGGGGCCCGCACCACCACAGCCCACACTCCCTGGGTCCTGCGGGGACGGGGGTGGCGCGAACCCCTGTAGCCAAAGAATGAATGGCCAGCGCGGGGCACTCGGAACCCAGCGCCGCGGCCCCACCCCGCGTTCCCCCGCCTGCCGCCCGCGGGCCACCAGCGCGCGTGGGCAGAGCCGGGGCCGCCTCCCGGGACCAAACCCGAGACGGGCTGGCGGGGAGGAGGCCGGCCGGCCCCGCCGCAGACCCGCACCCAGCGCGGGGGCGCGGGCGGCCTGGGGTTCCCCCCGCCCCCCACCGGGCTTACCTGGCTCCGCCGAGGCCGCGCGCGCCCGGAGCAGCAGGGCCAGAAGCGGGAGCGCGTCCAGGAGGCATCGCCGGAGCGGCCCCAGCCAGGGCCACCTGCGGGCGGCGTGCCACAGGTTAGTCCTCCGCCCGCGGCCCCCGCCCGCCTGTCCGCCGTGCAATCCCGCCCCCGCCCGCCGCGCGGCCCCGCGCCCCGCACCTCGGCGCCATGCTCTGCGGCCGGCCGTCTGCTCAGCGGCTCCTGCACCCTCCGCGGCGGTGCGCCCGCTAGGCCCTCGCTCCGGCCGCACCGGGGCGGACAGGGGCGGGGCGGGGCCGGGCCCGGCCGGGGGCGGGGCGGGGCGGGGCGGGGAGGCGGGGAAGCTGGGCCACGGACTTGGGCTGAGCCCGCTGGGTTGAGCCGGGGCTGGGAGGGGGCGGTTGGCCAAACCCCTGCCTTGGAGAGGTGACCGGCTGCGCCCTCGGGTCCTGGCACCCTGCGCAGCAGCCCGGGGTGCTTTCTCTCCACCGCCCTGCCCCACCCAGCGAGCGCGGTCGCCCCGCGCCCCCGCCCCCGGAGAGAGCCGGTCCCGCCCCAGCGCAGGGCGCACGTGGGATCCGGGCTCCCGGCCCGGGGCGAGGTCTGGACGGACGCCACCGGCCCGGGTTTTCTCCGGGAAGGTGTCTGTCGCGGCCCCCAGAGGAGTCTTCCTCGGGCCCTGGGTCCTGCAGGGCAGTGGGAAGACGGCCATTGGAACAAAGGCGTTTATCGCGGGGGGGGGGGGGGGGGGAGACAATGGATGGAGGGGAAGAAGCTGGGCCCCTGCCCAGCCTCTGAGCGCATTAGCCGCGAGGTAGTGGCTCCGGCCTCGCCGCCTGGGCAGGCCCCCCACGCTGCGCCCCCCGCCACCTGCTGCGGCCGCCCACGATGTCCCTGTGCCCCATGAGGCTTCAGGTGGCCGCCCCCACAGCACCGGCCCCGACTCCCGCTGGGTCCCACCCCACGTTACAGAGGGCAGGACCCCGGAGGGTGGCTGAGAAGGCCAGCCCACTCCACCCATGCGCTCCGGCCCCCAGGGCCTGGGCCCCTCCCGCTCCCGATGGTCCAGCTGCCCCTCACCAAAGCCTCCCCAGCCTCCCACCCCCAGTGACGTCCACTTGGTTTCCATTGCTCGGTCTTCCGGGCAGCTGTGCGTGGGATCCTGTCCTCACACCCACCCAGAAGGCCTCTCCTCAGAGAGCCCCTCATACCCGACCTCTCACACCACCTCGCCTTGTCCCACGCCTTGCAGGAAAGAGGCCCCAGCACCATCATCTTGGCTTCTCACTTTCTGTGGAACCCACTAGATCACTCCTAAACGCCCTTCCTGGCCCAGTAATCTCCTGCCTGGACCCCCCAAAAGCCTCTGTACCTGAACCCCCAACAGCCTCCCCCATCCACTGAGATTCTCTGCACCTCTCTTGCGCCCCCACCCCCAGCACATCCTGCTGGACAATCCCGGACTTCATTTCTCAACCAGCCTAGAGACCTTGTCCCTGGCAAGGCCCCAGCCATATGCCCTGGAGAGGCAGACTTCCCCATGTGCCCCTCCACCACCACCACCTGACAGCTGCCCTCAGCACCTCCTCCTGCCCCTGCTCTCCACACTGCCACCGAGAGGCCTGCCTGGCTTCCCTGCAGCCCATCGTCCCCCTCCACCACCCTGGCCCAGCCTGCCCACCTGCCCCACACCTCCACCACCGTCCTGGACCTGGGCTCTTTCTCCAGGTTGCATGACAAGGGTACGGGTTGGGCAGAGAAATTAACTCGGAGGTCACCCACGTTTTTTAAAAACTGAAGAGAATTTCATAGAGCCGAGGATGAGCACACTCTTTTGCAAAACTTTTTTGTTTTTTGTATGGATGGAGGGGGCCCCTGTGTGTGTGGAGGGGCGTCTGTTTCTGATGGGGTGGGTGAATCTGTGGGTGCTTTCTGTGCCTGTGTTTGGTACGTTTCTTGTAACATGCACGTGTGTGGGGTGTGTGCACGCGTGTGGTTGGCATTCCTTGGAGTGGTTCCTGCCCACCTGCCTGACCATCAGTCCATCTGTCCGTGGCCTGCGCCCTGCTGCGGGGGAGAAATCTGATGGGCGGGAGCTCTTCGGTCTCTTCCCTCTCGCCTGCCTCAGGCCCATCCTGCTGCCACCCCACCCCACCCATCCTTAAACCTGCAGACTTGCCTCTGCAGGCGAGACTGGCTGATCTGCAGCTCTGGGAGGGAGCGGCTGGCAGGGGGAGGGCAGTGCACGTGGGGCCTGAGATTCAGTACCTCCCCAGAACCCCACCTGTCCTCCCCGCCTCAACCCGGAGTCATCACCTCTCTCCAGCTCGCCCCCTTCATCATCACCTCTCCAGTCTCTGGGGTGGAGGCCCCAGGGCAGGGTGAGCCCACCTTTAGGGGCTCTGCAGGGAAGGCTAGCTTCAAAGACCCTCGTGTGATGAAAAGCGCAATCCACGACAAAAGTACTAAAATAAGGCTTTTTACTGTGAAATGCTCATGAAGACGTTTATTTAAACAAGACGCTTGACTTGAAGGGAGAAGAACTATGTAGGATTCATTTCTTTTTAGAGTAATTTATCTTTTCAAAACAGATTGCCCTACATGTAACAGCTACGTACAAAAAGCTATAAAGTTGTTCTTGGTTTTACAATGATAAATGAAAAGCGTTAAAATTCTGCAAACAAGGTGTCCAAGGATTTTTACGTTGTTGTTCTTGTGTTAGTAAAGCACTGGAGTATAAAGATGAGAGCTGAATGAATGAGCTTCCAGGCAGGGAGAGAGAAGGTGTTTCCACAGAACCAGGATTTCCCCCACTCATCTCCGTTTGTTATCGATCAACACATACCATTTAGTGTTAAAGAAGGCAAATGCTTTGTGCACACGTATCAGTTACTCTATTTCCAATAAAGAAATGGGAAGGGGAAAACAGGAGAATAGAGAAAGCTATACTATAGCCGTCAGATTGCATTTTAACCAAATTGCGGTGTTCTCACGGAGAATGTCCTCTTGGTCTGTAGGAACCGAGTTCTGGGGTCAGGTAGCAGGTTCCCTTCTTAACTGACCCCTCCTGCCTGCTGCTGGAACACGTGACTGGTACCTTCACCCTCCACGTCCAACTGTGCAGTGTTTCGTTGATTGGCTGCCCGTCAAGTCGGAATCTGATCTGCCTCGTGGACAAACCCTGTCGTTCACAATAGGCTTTCATTAGTTTGCTAGGAAGTATATCTCTTCATTTTTTAAAATATATTTTTATTGATTTGCATTGACTTCAGAGAGTGAGAGAGATAGAAAGGACCACGATGAAAGAGAATCATTGATCGGCTGCCTCCTGCACGCCCCCTACTGGGGATCGATCCCCCAACCCAGCATGTACCCTGACCGGAATCATAGGTCAATGCTCAACCATTGAGCCATACCGGCCAGGCTGCCTCTGAATCCTAAATTGCACCCTAGAACCACCCTGCCCCACCATCTCCAAATTCATATGATCGTTTTTCTCAGTCTTGACTCCTTCCTTGGGCTTTGAGTCTCCTCAGCTGGTGCTTCACAAAAGAGAAGTGAGGTCCGCGCCCACCAAGCAGCCCCAGGAGCAGCAGGAGGAGGCCATGGTGGAGAAAGGAGAGGGTGCGTGCCGCTGTCCCATATCTCGTTCTTATGAGAAGTCTATCTTTCCCTTTATTTACTGTAGGGGTTCAGGATGAGTCCCCCCAAGAAGTGCCTGGGTGGTGGTGTGCGGATTATTATGAGTGAAAGGCAACCCAGACCCTTTGGGCTCTAGAGAAACTTCTGCACCCCCACCACCCCCACCCCAGCAATCTAGAAAAATTTAAGTCGGGACCTCACCCATAAGAAGAGTTATCACCAGAAATAACTTTTGGGGCCTATCTATAGGGGAGGGCCTATCTTATCCATAGGAAGGACTAGATATCTGATCTTATCATCATCCTACAATGACACTCCTCCCCTCTGAAGCCCCAGGTGCCTTAGCTCAGCTGTCCTATGCCCCTCACTTCCCCTGTCTGCCCCTGAACCTCTCCTGTATGTGGGGTCCCCGTAGGCACATAGACATGCACGAAACTTGGTTGTTTTCTCTCGTTAACCTGTCTCATGTGGGTGTGATTATTAGAGGGGCCTGAGGAACCTGGGATGGGAGAGGACAGCTGCTTCCTCCCCGTGGCCCACAGGGCCAGGTGATCACGTAGAAAATGTAGGTGTGCATGTAGAACCAGAAGACCCCGCATCTCCTTCAGCTGGGTGTCGAACTGGGGACCTTTCAGTCCACAGGCCGACACTCTATCCACTGAGCCACTCTCGTCCACAGAGACCCCCCGCCACCCTTTTGCCTTGGGCGGGGTGGACACCATCAACTCATCCCGAGGGCTCAGAAGTCCCAGGGGTGCCAAGGGACCACAGCGAGTCTGGGCAGCAGGGGGCGCCTCCACTGGGCTGAGGAGGCAGGTGCAGATGCCAAGGATGGGAGGGTCCGGAGCAAGGGCCCCGGGGAATGGGGGGGGAGGGGGTCCTGGGGTAGAAGGGCCAGAACTCCGGCTCCAGCCCATGTCTTGTCCATTCCTTGTGTTGCGTTCCTTCTTCCTCTGACACTACGTGTCTTACATGTCCTTACCCAGGAGAAATGACAGGGTGCGGGGCTTGTCCCCAGCTTGGCCTGTGAAACAGACCATGGTCCAGCGGTGACCAACTTGCGCTGCCCAAAGACTTGGCTGACGGTGCCCCCGTGGCTGGAAACAGAGGCTCCCAGTCTACTTACCCCCAATGCTGGGCTTGTTTTAAAATTGCTTTTGTTTTAAATCGGCAGGGTTTTCCCAAACCACAGTGGATTCCCTGCAGTCCTGCTCCATGGGCCGTGGGTGCTGGGTGGGGGCTGTGCGCTTGTGAAGGGAGAGAGGTGGGGCAGGCAGGAAGGTGTCTCAGGGCCATCTGGGCATGGGCATGGGAAGGACAGGACGTGCGACCTCTGCCCAGATTGTCCCTTCTCCCTGCGGCACCAGGGCACTCGCCACGGGCCACAAAAGTAACTTCTCACCAGGAGAGGAAGACACGATGGCGGATGGAGCTGGCTGTGAGGAGCACAGTGTATTCAAAAGTGTATCTGGCTGAAACCGGTTTGGCTCAGTGGATAGAGCATCGGTCTATAGACTGAAAGGTCCCAGGTTTGATTCTGGTCAAGGGC